ATACCTCATAGGAGCTGGCGAGCCCCTCTATCATTCAATAACGCATAAGAGATAACGAGCGCCCCTACCAGTAAATACCTAACCGGAGCTGGCAAGCGCTAACGAAATATAGCAGAAGATGATTGACGGGCATAAGAAGAAACCGTCGACGCTGTCGAGCATCAAGAAGTACAATATAGTGAGTATCAGAAAATTACTCGCGTCGGCAAACGCTATATAAAAAAGTAAATTTTCCATCAGCAGCAAAGATGATCAAAGAAACAGAAGTTCTCGCTGTCGGAAATCTTATACAAACACACCAAATCACTCACTATCCTAACATCATCCTCAAATCACATCCTATTTCAAGGACGCTAACACAACCATCATGATACTTTTAGAAAATGTGGTGTCTTTATAAGAACTTTGTATAACTCTTTATACAAAGAGATATACAAAGGGGGGCAACTGTAGACACCACATTTTGTCCGGAGCAACCATCCTGCTCAAAACTCAAAAGAATATCCACTTAAAAAGAAAACTCAAGTAAAAATTTGGACGAGGTTGGTTGAGATTAGCAATGGCAAATCAATAAGTACCAACGATTTTTTTTAAGTCCGTTTTATTTGGTTCGAATGTTTGTACTAGGTAGGATTAGTAGTAGCTATTGGCTACCGAATTTGCTTTATTTAGAATAACAATAGTATTTGGTTCGAATATTTGTACTAGGTAGGATTAGCAGTAGCTAATGGCTACCGAATTCGCTTTATTTAGAATAACAATAGTATGTTGTCACGACCTATGCTAATGTCATTGTATTCAGTTGGTCTCATTGGTCTAAAGTTGGTCAAAAGGTATAGAAAGATTGGTAATTTTGCTTTAACGACCCAAATCCATGGTTTGGGAAGCATTGATTAGATGTTTGGATTTGGTTTGAAATTGGATAAGTGAGCAAATTGGGTTGGAAGAATCAATTGAATGTTTGAGCACTACATACAGATACAATGATCATCTAATTCTGAAGGCAATAACATAAATAAATAAATGTGTAATTACAAAGTACAATTTATAACCTTTAAGATACACTTAGTAATTATACATTAAAAAAAAAACTATCAGAAACAAACCCACACCAGCAGCCCAATTCTCAAACTATAAAACTCAACCCAGGCCCATATTTCGGCCCAATCCAGTATGGTCGGCCCAGGTCCACTCTGGTCAAATCGGCCAACTCTGGTCAACCCCGTCAACCAAACCCATCATTCTTATCTAAAGGAGCAGCAGAGTAGCAGAGCAGCAGAACAGCAGAGTCTCTGCCAAATCTAAAAAAGAAGATTTCGGCCACCTCCTCCAAGGACCAATCCCAAATTGCCATCAACATAAGTGGCTAAGGCTACCACTTCAAGAGCAAAGGAGGAGCAGCCAACACACAGGTATGAACAGTAAAAGGCAGCCATATATAAGGAGCTGTTTTACCCCCAAACAGGGGTAGAGAGGAACGAACAAAAAGAGCACACAAAAGGGAAACAAAGACATTAAAGCACTAAGCACCAAAAGAGGCAGACCAGAAGCAATAAGGATCCAAAAGGGGCAGAGAGTCAGAAATAGCAACAAACTATCGCCATCAACCTCCACCTAATTTACAACACAGGTTGGTATTTTCTACACATCATCAACCATACGAGCATCTAGTCATCTATACATCCATGAAGGAAAATTCATTTAACATGTTTGTAAATGATGATTGCTTCCAAATTCATAATCTATAGTTAGGTTGCTTAAGTCTGTATGTGAAGTGGGTATTACAAAATTCTGATCTTTGTGACATGTATGCCTCTTTATGCCATTTTTCCGTTACATGCTACAATAAACAGTTTCATTTTATCACTAACGTACAATGAATTAGTTTAAATTGCTTTCAGTTTTTCTAGCAAGTATAATTCTTGCTAAGTTGCTAGCTGAACTTAGCAATAATATCAGCTAGGCTATTTCATTTAGTCTTTCAACATATCAAAAATCCAGCAATCTACTCAAAACACAAAAATAGGATTCAAACAAGATCTTTGAGAGAGTATTTTAAAATACCTCATTTGATGGTTGTAAGGGTGCCCTTTTAACTCAATTACCAGATTTGGTAATCACGAAGTTCTCATTTGATTATTATTTTGTATGCTAAATACAATAAAACACTCTCATTAAAAATCCCATTTGTTACTAATCAGTATTAGCCTTTTAATCAAGTTGTTTAACCAATTGATAGTCATAAGCAGTAGCTATGATGTCGTATTACTTTTAGGACCATTATAGATTTTCGAATTTTAATAAAGCAAGTTCACCACCATACCCAAAACCAAACATTAAGGCTAAACAAACCTAGGAGGTCTAACAAAATTTATTTTCACAACACCAGAAAGTTCTATAAACAATCATAACGATAATTAAACCACCCATTTTAGGTTTAGAAGAGGTATCACCTAGTTTCTTTCAAATTGAATAAGATCTGCAAAAAATTAGGAAATCGAGAGTTAGAACCCCAAAAATGATAATAGGTAAAAAACGAGAATAAAAAAATAAAACAAATAACTTACCCCCAAACAAAACCCTCGCCGTCGGCTCTGGCGCTGGCCGCGCCGCCGGCGACCGCCGCCTTCCCTTCCCTTCCTTCGGCAGGGATCCGAAACAAAAAAAATAAAACAAAGGAAAGCCAAACAAGTCAAAATCCCAATATTATTCGTTAAATCGAATAAAAATGGACATGCATTGTAAAAGGGGGCTTACCAGAGGGTAAAACCTCCTCCTCGTCACCTCTGTTCCAACTAGAAGCGATAGATCGAGATTATTAGAATGCAAATCGAGGCCCCCTCCTCGGTTTTGGATCGATCTCCGAAAGAAAAACAAGAAAAAGGTTAGAATCTCGCTCGAAAACCCAGAAATAAAAAACAAACTTGCATGCAATGATCTTACCTAGATCGAAGGTCTCCCGCTCGATTTTTTTTAGCGATCTTCGTCATATCGAGGGACGAGAGGGGAGAGCGGCGGCGGCTGCCTTGAGCGAGGCTAGGGTTTGGGTTTCTTTTCTCTGAGCAAGAGAGAGAGACGAGGGACGAGAGGAGAGCGACGGCGGCGGCCTTGAGGGAGGTTGGGTTCGGGTTTCTCTGGCCAAGAGGGGGGAGAGAGTGTAGGGTTTGTTTTGATTTTTTGAGAGTGTAGGGTTTTCTCTGGACGGAGGACGAGAGGGAGAGGATGAGAGTGGCGGCCGCTAGATCATTTAGAATAGGGTTTGATTTTTTGTGTTGTAAGAGACTATATATACCTCTAGCTTTAAAATGACCAAAATGCCCCTAGGGTTCCGGCTATTTACGCGTCCATGCCACCGCGTTTTCGTGAAAGTACTAGAATGCCCTTCCCCCTTCTCTGCACCAAAACGAGAAAATTAAAAATTTCTCCACCAGTGCGTTTCGAACCCACGTCCTCCGGTTCAAACGCGAGCCTGGTCAGGCGTTTTAGCCAGTTAGGCTGCCAATCCATCATGCATTAATGTTGCCATCCCATTCAGTTTTATTTGTTTTACAATCCTTAATACGAAATGTGAAATGCGGATTAAGTTTGTCTCATTTCTTTTTCTATTACACCAAAATACATCCTTCTAATTAAAATCCTAATAATAATCAATCTAAATTTTAACAATAAAAATATGATACGAGAATTACGTTCAGTGGAACGTGGTAAAAGCTACAATTAAATTTTCAAAGTCCCAACGAACTACGTGGACTTTGATCCCGTCTAACGGGTACGTAGCCAACCGATAAGGTTCGAGTCCAACTAATCAACTAACTTTATCTTTAAATTTTTACGTCAGTGGGCGTATAATTAATTACAACTAATACGAGAAGATCGTTAAATGGTCCAGTGGGACCCTAAAATTACAAAATTATTACCAAAATACACCCAACTCGCATAAAAACTTATCGACTTAAGTAGTACCGATTTAGGGCGTTGTGGGGGTGTTGCTTAACTTCCCCACACGTAACCGTACTCCCGAACCCAGAACTTCATTTTCGCAGACCAGATCTCGGTTCTGACCCTAAGGTTAGAGCCGATCCGAAGAGTGTTCGATCCACTCCAAGTAAGATCGATGGCGACTCCTAAAAATGCCGACGATACGACATTCGGACCCCCGGACGGGACGGTTGCGACACTAGTTTAGAGTGATCGTTTAACGGGAAAAAAAAAAGTTAAGTATCGGGTTGAATAGGCAAATCTGGGTATGTTAAGGCAAGGAGAAATAGCAAACAGTGAGCATAGTGAAAACCGGGCAAGGGAATTATGGCGAATCCACGTTTGAAGACTGTGGGATGGGAAGTAAAGAACATTAAGGGAGATGATTGGCTTAAATTATGGAGATATCGAGGTGGCTAATGATGGATTCTTCCTCATGTTAATGACATTTGAATTATTGCATAGCATTTTGTAGAGTTGATAGATCAATTCTATAGTCAGGAAGTTGTTGCTTGAGGCATAACATTTGAGCACATGGATTTCCAACTCATTCATTTGTAGTCCAAGAAAGAAGGTGCGTCTCCCATCCTACGTACTCATGTTAGTGTTGTGGTATATGATCCACGATTGAACTTCTCCCAACAACTCGAGTTATTGGGATCAACTGGTTCTTGACATAGTATCAGAGCCTTATGTGACCGAGATTTGAGGAAGTCAATGATAGTACTTTAAATACATGAAAAAAAATACATTTGAGGAGTTTCATTAATATTTCATTTGGTGTGTCGAAAGCTGGAATAGTGGCTGATGAGGAAGAATCAATATTATTGTCATCCGTGAGGCAAATAAATATTATATATCTTCATTTGTTGTATCATATAGTCACTACAAAAAAATGCACTTGTGCCAAGGGTTTTATAGCAAGGGTTCTACAATCCTTGCTAATTTTTCCGGAATATTTTGTAGCAACGCTTCTTTATAAGAGTTATATAATCCTTGCTAATTTTTAAACCAAATTTCAGCCCGTCCGAGAAAAACACTATTTTCCATTTACATTTTTCAATAGCGACGCTTCTTTCCAAGAGTTCCAGAACCCTTGCTAAGACTTAAATCAAATTTCATCCCCTGTTCCATTTCTCGATTCAAGAAAACCCTTGTTCTATTTCTCGATTTTTTTGGCACTTGTTTGATCGCTGATTTTGCCGGAGTATTGGTGATTCCACCGGAGCTGGAGAGAGGTTGAAAGAGAGCATCAGACTACCGTCGCCCATCACCCCTCCGCTGCCTCCCTCCGCAGTCGCTACCGCTCCAGCTGAAATTCGATCGCGGTTTCCCTCCGCGCTCGCTCCAATTGAGAGGTTATTCTCTGATTCTCTCTCTCTCTCTCTCGCACTAGCAAACTCTGTAGGTTAGAGATTCGACTTTCTCCGATATGTAACAGTTTCGACTGTCTTGGGATTGTAGTCGCAGTGGCTGCATGCAGTATAGTATTTTAGGGATTGTAGTACTGGACTTTGATATAGATTTTGAATCTGTAGTAGATTCGATCTCCTTACGCTTTTGAATATGTCTCTTGTCTAAATGATTCTAAACGATTCAGTTGATTTGATCGAATAGTTATAGTACTAAACTTTGATATAGATTTTGACTCTTATACTGTGATTTAGTTCATCATTAACAGGTATATAAACTGAATAACCATGATAAACGATGGACAACCTAGCTGCTGAATCTGCGCTGTAAAATGGAATCACAGGTTAGTTCCTTGTCTCTCTGTGATTAAGTGAATGCATATATATGTTTATAGGGTATAGTTTGATTGAAGACTATAGTTTCCACCGAGTAGAACATCTATGCTGAGCCATCGTTTATTCATAAGCTAACTAATACCAATGATCATATACTAGCTAGCCGGTAATCCTATATCAATGCCCCTTCTTTTTGTTAAGATATGCCAGATAGTTTTGAAGCTGAAGTGTAAATGGTAGTCCAAGGAATGTTTTGGAGCACTAGATCCAAAATATATTTGCTGGGATAAATTTTGAGTGATAAGTTTAAATATTATTAGTATGGTTCACATCATTGGGAGTAATGGCTTGATATCGTTGTATGTGTTCCATGTGTGCATGGAATGAGTACATGGTGCTAATTCAATAGAAACATAACTTCTCATATTTCTATCTGGTTGTTGTTTTTGTCTTGTGTGGTCCATGTATCCTCTGGTGCTGCTGTATGTTTTTGTCTTGTGCTAGTAATGGGCTTCCTCAAGGGTACCCTAAGTTTAAGGTTAACCTCTAATCCTAATGATATCATGCACCTTTGATTTTTGCTTAATTTTCTTCCATCATTGAACCTGTTTCCCCCCCCCCCCCCCCCCCCCCCCCCCCCCCCCCTCTACTCCTTTGACTGAGTTCTTACATTTCCAGATTATTACTTTGAACAAGAATATGTTACCGGATGAACTTTCGGGGTACCTTATGCAGGCACATCGAGACTTGGAAAGGGAAGCAATGAGAAAATCACTTGTGCTGTTGAAGAATGGGAAAAATGGGACTCAACCATTGCTACCCCTCCCCAAGAAGGCTTCAAGAATTCTAGTTGTGGGTACCCCTTCTCAACCATTAATACAATATTTTATGGTGATGATGCATACTATTGAATATTGATTGCTCGATAGAACGAATGTCAAAACAGGCTAGAAGCCAAAAATCATCTTATGCATTTAGTGGCAAACAAGTTAGATCAGATCATAGCATTCGGGTTATTTCGGGTTGCAAGACATGCTAGGATGGGTCATTATGGGTATCAGTCGGACCGAAAATATTATAAATATGGGAAAGGAAAGCTCACTTCGAGCTTGATTATGAACGGGCAGACTGAAGTGAACTGGAACGTATGGAATTTTGCCTTTTCTCGATTTTGCTTTTGTGCAGAGTGTTGGTTGAAAAACAAAAGGATGTATTGGATTCTGATAGGTAGGGAGCTGTGGACACTACAATGTGGATTTCTAGGCTCATCTTTGGGATAGGAGAGGTAAACTATTTAATCACCATACATGACCTTTTCTTTGTTCTACTACAATCAAGAGTTATCCCTGTTTACTCTTTTATCTTGCTCTTCTTCTACTCTCATTTAATGTATTGTTGTCTTGGCAATAGAATATGACACCCTTCACATCAAAGTAAGTCTTCTTCTTTTCATGGTTTTGGCCAGTTTAGTTGTCCCTACATGCTTAATTTGGTGGATAAGAAGTCTAGTAGAAGCACAAAAATAGTTGAGCATTGTTTGGAGAAGAAACCAAACATCCCACAAATCTGTCTTTGTTTTCTTTCTTTCTGTACTGTTTACTGTGTCTTTAAAAAAGTAGGGAGAAGAGGACATAAGCACGTAGTCAAGGATTGCTCTGTTTCTCGATGCTCGTCTTGTTATATATGTACTTGAATTAGTGTTGGCTTGTATGGCTAAGTAGTTTTTTTAATATGTAAATCCTGACATCTCTTTTATCTTATGAACAAGGTGCCTCCAGTGCTCAAGCTCCGTCTTTGGATTCTCAAGCTTCTTGATCAGATGTGTCGTGAATTTCTTATATGAAGGATTTTGGATCATATGATCTATTCATGTAGCTTCGAACAGGTTCTTTTAAGTACTTGGAATATCACGAATGCGCTATTATTACTTCGTTTATGTCAGTTATGTATGAATGTTTATGGTGATAAATATTTAGCCATGTAAACATCATTTTGGATGATGATTCGTATCATGTTATGATTCAAGATATGAAAGGTATACGTTATGTTAAGAATTTTATTAACAAGCTTGTATTCGTATTTGTATATAGTGACTAGGCTATTGGCAACCAAACTAGAGCCACTAATTTTATTGTTTTTGCTTAGTAACAAAAAATTTAGCTACTTTTTGGGTTTCTACACAAAATATTGTCATGCAGTCACAAATTATGCAAGGGTTTAAACCCCTGCAAGCATCATCTCATAGTTGTTATAAGAAGGTGTAGCAAGGGTTTTGACCCTCGCTAATTTAAGCAACAAATTTCTCAAGGGTTACAATCGATGCTACTAGCGTATCTTTACATAATTTTACACAGACATGTAGCAAGGGTTTGAACCCTTGCTAGTTGTAGGAATGAATTTTCCAAGGGTTTGAACCCTTGCTACTAGAATCTATGGCTTAAATTTTACTGACGTGTAGCAAGGGATTAAACCCTTGCTATAACCGTTGCTATAACCCTTGCTATATGTAGCAGGGGCGGCTTTGCCAAGGGTCCATCCAAGGGTTGCTTAAGCCCTTGCTAGAGATGAAATTAACCCTTGCCATAGGTCCTTTTTCTTGTAGTGAGTAATAGGTTGCCATTTGGTGTTCATGATTAATTCCAAAATGCATGTATGCTCTCGGATACTGAATGGAGTTACTATTAAAAGAAGTTGTTCATTGATTTACATAAAGTTATTTTTATGGGGAAATGTCACATTTACCCTCAACTTTTAGAATAAGGCAAAAACTATTGGGAATATAAATGGAAAGAAAAAGTTGACACAAATCTAAAACCAACAATCTCAACTTTTAGTTGAGATTGTAGAATGCATAATTTTTTGTGATTGTTGGTGGGACCTACCTAAAACAATGCATACATTGTTAGCACTTCCCAACATTGTATTGTGCACAATACATATATTCAACAAACACAACTCTAACAATCACAACTTACAAACGACCCCTAAATGAATTCATGAGAAAGATGATGGAGCGGCTACCCATAAAAGTCAATCTTGATTTGAACAATTGTTGTCGATGTCTACACCATTGAGAATATACAACCGGCCAACTGGCCGGGTCCCAAACTAGTAAACAAGAATATACTAATTTTTGGTAGATAAAATAAACCAACAACATTGTAAAAAGCTTTAACGTTTCATTTATTTATGAATAATTGTGAAAGTTTATATTTATGGTATAAATATAATTAAAGAAAATTGGTTTAATGCACTTGTATATCCAAAACTTTCACGGTTGTGCCAATAATATCCAATTTTCGGGAATACCACTTATATTCATGTTTTAAAGTTGTTCTTTGCCAAATCTATCAATTTCTCAATATATTTTTGGTTAAATACACTTGTATATCCAAAAACACCGTTAAATAATGTGAAGGAATTGGATATAATTGGTATTTCGGGAAATTTGGATATTATTGGCATAACTGTGAAAGTTTTGGATATACAAGTGTATTTAACCAAGAAAATTTCAAAAAACCTTGCCCTAATAACTCCGTACGTTCTTTTATAAATAAATAAAAACTCTGTACGTTCTTTAATAAAAATACTAGCTTTTACCCGACCCGTTGGTCGGATGAATTATGTATTATATTTTGTTGTTTTGTATTAACCAATTTGCATATTTTCAAAAAAATTACAGTCTTTTAAATAGTTTATTCATAAAGGGAAAATAATATTTGTGTTACTTTTGAATTTTATATTAGTAAGTAATTAGTTCTGGTGATGTGGCCATCCTAGGTTACTGGTATCTATATTTTTTTATATTTTAGAAGAAAATTTTATACTTTTTTACATTCAATATAAATTGCTTAAATTGTTTTTCTTTATAAGATTTGTTATTATCGATGTACGGATCCATACCTCTTGAATTCCAAAAAAAAAACATGTAAAATTTCTAAAGTGAATATAAAAAAGAACAAAATGCTACCGGTTATATTTCATATTCGCTACCACACACGGTGAAAGAACCTGGAAAACAAAAGTCACTGTAGGTCAATTTAATTTTGTTATTAGGCAATTTATCAGTGAAAAGAGAATGAGGCCCGACAATAAAAACTATAGGTTAGCACAATTGTTTGAGCCCAAATTAGATTAATAAAGCAGACAACTCTGAGTTCTCAAAGAGAGCTTTCACAAATATCTAAGGCTAGCAGTTTCAGTAATAGAAAATATATCTGCACATCAAAACTCATCGCAACTTTCAGTTCCAGCCCTAGCCCGCCAAAATATTGATCTTTCCTTCTCCTTCTTTTGCTGCAGCATTTCAATTCACATTCTAAAAATAGAAACATCAGCAGAATCAAGGCTATTTATATTAAATGTTACGTTATGGGGTCTGATTCATCGGCAGGGTGGCTGACCACCTTATTGCCGAAAAACTTGGCAACTTCCCAACCAATTCACCGCTCTCGGTCAAGCGCTCACATCATCCATCATTTATCTATCTAACTCTTAACATATTTGGTTTCTGATCTGGCCATGGCCGGTGAAATGAAGATGTTGAGTTTTGTATCTTGCCCATGGTTGGAACTTGGAAGTGATGGTGGCGGTGGCGGAACATTGGGTGTGATGGGAAGCATTTGTAATTAGGAAATGCACCCAGACCCCAGTTGACTATCTTGGCTGTGAAATTAAAAATAAATTTGTGAACAAAAATAGGTGCATATGTACCCAAAAGAGGGGTAAATTATCAGTTAAAGACTACATCATTACTAAGTCATGATTGAGGAATTAGCATCCACACGAAGTTGGAATCGTCAAAGATTACAACTGGGTGTCTAAATTGCAAATATAGTAACAACGGGGGAATAACCAAAATCAGCAAGTGTTTGGCTGAAAAACCAGTGATTTCCATTAAAATTTCTCAGGTAAATTGGTGACATGATTGTCTGTAACTGAAATTGGTTTGGTATATTTAAAGGTTCTACTATGAAATAATAGCAAGAGATCACTCAAGAGATCTTGTATCAATGATGAAAATGAGGTAACGATTCTTGTCATATGAACATATAAAACATCAACGAAAGGAGGCATACTGAAAGCATAGTGGAAGATAAGTTGAACATAATGAGAACAAACTGTAAACTTGTCGTTGTTGAAAATTAAGAGGCATATTAGAACAAAGTTACTAACTGGGCATTGATAAAGAACAATTAGTCTAGGCACGTACCAGCGTAGTTTTGATAATAATGAAACATCTTTGTTGGTGATATAGCAAAGGAGCTTTGTGTTTCACCAATGTCGAAGCGGTGGTAAATGGGAAGACACTACAAAGCATGTTTGGAGTAGGAAACCATGCATAGTCCTTTTTGTTAATGAGAAATTGCAGGCCATGTCAACAATGACAGAGAAAATAATTAGGAAAAACAAACCAAGTTATTACAAAGAAATAGACACATGCCTTAAGAGTTCTTTTTCAAGTAGATGATAGAACTTTTGACTCCTAAAATAGATAGATTCAACAAACTTTTTTTTTAAGTGATAGATTCAGCCAACTTAATTTCGTACAACTTGAAAGCCAGATTGAACTGGATAAATATCTAAACCAAATAAAAAAATTGAAACCATATAGCAAAAATGACGAAAAGCTTTAAGAATAAAATGTCCCAAACTCCAAAGCGTTATATAATGCAAGTAAAATAGCTTATACTGACAATTCAATTGTAAATGAGTTTATAGGATCATATACTGGAAGGCTCAAACTAATCGCTTCGAAGTGTGGGAATAGAGCTAGTAATAAGGAAACACGTGAATGAAAAACATTGAAATTGATCAGATCACACATGATATAATGCTCACCTTCTAGAGCAGAACGACTAAAAGTGAGACAAACGGCTAATAAAGCAGTAGGGAGGAGAGGACATAAATGCACCGACTAACTCACCCGGGGTAAGCATCAACCCCCATAAATTTGTAAGGCTTCATTCGTTGGAGTGATAAACATATATCAGCCGAAAATGCAGGCCTGAAAGACGACATATGGATCATAGACCCCTACTCTCGAATCATACATACAAACACTGCATATTGAAAGTAGGCTAATGTATCTGAAAATGTAGAATTGATTAGTCTCCCCCACCAAATTACCCTACATTTAGAAAATATGCTAATTGTTTAAACCACTAACAAAAACTCAACCAAAAGAAGCGGTTCATGCATTGAAGCCATATCATGGCAAGAAAAGCAAGTCCTGATTTTGAGAACTAAAACCCACAATCAAGAATTGGAGGACCATGCCAGGAAATAGAAAGAAATAAAGCCAAACCATAAAGAGGAGACTTCAATATCTCGGAAGCCAAGGGTCAACTTTGATAGCAGGGTGGAAGATATAATCGAAACCTGAGCTGAGCAGCATCTGGTGCATTGCCATAAGCCATCCTGCAAATTTGTGCATTTGAGAGCAGCAAGTCAATTATCAGAAAATTGCCAAGAGATTCCACTAAATTAAGGTGAGTAACTCCAAAGAGAGAACAAAGGAATCAAGAAATAATTAAACAAAACATTGAGGTATAACCAACCAAAACAATAGCTTATAAAAAAAGTCAAAATCCGCAAACCTCCCTCATCATTGCCTATTCGCCATCGAAATAGACCATTAAGACGGGTGTACCATAATCATATATGGGCGGAACCATCCCTGTCTAGGCTAGCATGATCCTCACATGACCTGGAATTAAAATATATACGATGCAACAAATGAAACAACACAAATACATGTGTCAACACAAATACATGTGATCGTCCTGCCAGTTGGTCACATAGGTCGAAACCCTCCTGAAAAACTTGGCCTTGAAAGTGTCCCACACCTTGTACTTGTAGTGGTTGATCACCGCCGTCCCCTCCGCCACGTTCGTCGACTTGTACCCTTCCCTCAGCTTGAAGTGATGCACAATGTTCAGCAGCGTCATGTCGAGAAGGTCCGGTCGGACGAAGGAATTGTGCCTTTCAGGAGCCTGCAGCCTGCAAGTGTAACCTATCGTCACACCTTGCTTCGGCGGTTCTGTCAGCCCCGATGGGACGAAGCTGTGGCACATTGTCCTCACCTCCGCGATCGTGGGCGAATCGGTGTAGTTCGAGACCATGGCACGGAGCGAGTTCTGCCCTGGCAAGGGGGTTTGGCCACTGTAGTGAGGGAAGTAGAAGAACTCGTCGACGTTGAAGAAGCCGACCCACTTGCACTCGTACTTTGCTCTCAGAGCACAATGCGAGAACCCTGCCTCCTGCGCTTTGATCCACGGCCAGACGTGCCTGGAGACATTGTGATTCCGCGAGTTGAGCTCGTCGGCGACGTCTTGTAGCCCGTCTTCGCTGTTGTTGTCGTAGATGAACCATCGCTCCACTCCCAGCCACGAGTGGTACATCACCCATTCCTTCAAAACCGACGCTTGATTCCACAGCATCGTGCAAGCGCAGAGCTCGTACTTCTCTTCCCCTTTCCCTCTCATTCCGTGGGATTTCGGGTTGTACACTTTCGCCACCGATGGCAGAGCTGCAGGGGAGGCCGAGGCAGGGGAGGCGGCGGAGTCTTCGACGCGGCTGACGGTGACGCGGATTCCTTCGGCAAGCGCGGTGTTGTTTTTCCGGATGCAAGCAGCGGACCACTTCCTGAGCCGCGGCGGTGGCTTTGGTGGTGAAGACGAAGCTCTCCTCTCTGGTCAAATTGTTGCTCAGCGAGAAATGGCACCTGAATTCGGCCGGATCGACTTCCCTACGTGGCTTCAGATTCAACCCTTTCGCCAACACCACCACCGTGTTCCAATCCAGAATCGCCTCGTAGACCATTTTCCCCCAATCGGGGAAGGAATCGGAATTTTCCTCATCCACCGTCTGATTCGCCGCCCTCCTCGAAGAAGCCACCAGTTCCATTCCACAACCTCGCCGCCGGGGCGGCGCAAATCCACGGCGGCGGAGTAGTTCACAGGCGGGAGCTCGCACCTCACAATCGACTTCCTTCTCCCTTTCACCTTTCCCCCTCTCTCTGTAATGTGATTGGAATTGCGATTCCCTCTCTCTCTCTCTCTTAATAACAGTAGAAAAAAACAAAGGAACTTATGGAAGGGGAAAAGGAAGGAGCTTTGCCTCTGGGTTTTGTTGTTTTGCACGCTTCTGTAGTGGACCATTTCCTTCCTGGGAAATAAAAAAATAAATACAAATTAAATGACAACGTGGCCTGACAGGAGAAAAGGTGGGCAGTTGACAGTTTTTTTGTTCTGAAATCAGGCGGGGACTCTTTTTTTCTCCCGCTTAACACTCTGCCACATCGGCTTCCTAAAATCACTCTATGGGCAGAAAATTTTGAATGGGGGATGCAGTTTTACTTTTCAGCTATAAATTATACCGTTGATATATGGATCGTTCGTCCGTCATCTTGGACTTACGCAGCAGTCCACGAGGAAGCATCAATCAGCTCGATCTCCGGCCACTCACCACCATTACTCTTCCCCTCTTCTTTCTTCCTTACGCAGCAAACAACATAATCATCACCACAAACACCAAGACACTTAGCCAACTCTCCATTGATCTTGAACTCGTGCATCACCCACCCGTTACTCTCACTCTCTTTACCACTACTCCCACCGCCGCCGCCGTCCTTCACTTTGTACGAGAAGGACCTTTTCGTGCCGATCTCGATCTCCTCCTCGCCGGGGATCACGAGCTTTATCTTGTCATCCTTCTGCGACTTCCACACGCTCTGCCCGAAGCTCCTTTCCACGCGCTTCCCTTTCTCCTTCTTCTTCTTCTTGAGCCGGGTGAAGAAGTAGAGCCTCGACTCGCCCGTCAGGTCGAACCAGTTCTTCCACCTCTCGTCGTCGTCGTAGAGGTCGGCTTCGAACACCACGTTGTTGTTTGAGTGGAACCGGTTCGGTTGGCGGCAGAGTTTGGGGCAGAGGTGGTCGAGAATTAGCTGGGCGTCGTCGGTTGGGTCGAACCGGAAGCCCGGCGGAAGGCCCGGGATGTAGCTCATCGTGGTGTGCGATAATCGATATGGAAACGAAAGCACTGAAAATTGTTGATGGAGCGCGGGAGAGAGAATGCGTGAACCAATAAAAACGAAGATTAGCGTCTCATTTATACATATATTTAGGGTTTTCCGATGTGATTTTGGTATTCCTTTTTGGTTTCTAATTCTGATTAGTCATTTCTTGATCTTGGTGAATGATTAGGTGGCATGCATGCCGAAATTGATTGTTGAGGTGGCTGCTTTGCGGTACGTAGTACAGTTACGTTGCATGCATGCAGCTTTGCAACACTATTTCACCAATATATATACGGACAACAAATCATTCCCAGAAAGTTTTGGAAAAAGAGTAGTATCTATGAAAGCTCTGCAGAAGTCGTGTTCAAGAAGAAATATATCAAGACAATCCTATCAAGTTCTAGGAACTTGTTTGACATCATATAAAACATTTTTCAGCTCTAATAGACATGATCATGAAAAAAATAATTTTCTAAACAAGAACGTTGTTCTTCAAAAACTTCTTGTTAAGAAATCCATCAGAAACACACCTTTGACGTCCATTTGGAACATTTCAATTTTCCTTGCACGGGCAAAAGCACATTGGAGACGAATGACTACAGGAGGAAAGATCTCCTCATAGTCAATCCTTCTTCTTGATTGTATCCTTTAACAACTAGTCTAGCGTTATTTCATCCTAATTCATCATTTTTAAACATGAATACCCATTTACTTCCAATCACAGGCCAATCTATGCAGCCTCCATTAAATATCGCACCTGCTCAAAGATGATGCTATGCAACCTCCATAAACTAAACAAACTACCAAATTGACCCGACTTCCTTTCATACATTACGCTGTAAATGTCACGATAGTTGAAGGTACAAAGCATATATAAGCTTGAAATTGCAGACATGTGATAGAAGAAGCTACTGCAATTTTGAGCTTTACCAAAATAACAGAACCCTAACAGCCATACACGAACCAGACGAGCTAGGACTATAGCAACCTATGACTCAATTACCACCTACTACCCAACTTCAAGAGAAGCACAAGGAACACCTAAACGTAAACAAGCAACACCTATCTACGATCATACATGGCTGAAGTGAAACAAAACAATGCACCTCCATTCCCAAAAGCCACATAATCGATCACAACGACGACACGAAATATCATCAATCTTCCATCTTGAAGCCGGACAACGACATCTGGGATGGAACAAATGTGACAATCTCGATCATGGCCTTGTCCTCGGTCCCAACTCCACGAAGCAAGTCCGTCTCCGGGTCGAAGACGAGCAACCCTGCATTCTGACAACTAAAACACCCAAAAAGCTTAATATCCACAAAGTAACAACCCCCCCTCCAAATAGCAGGGAATTCATACGCCCCAGCCAGGTCGGAAACACTATACAGCAAAGTCCAAGGCACAGATTGGTCGAATTTCAGCAGCACCCGTATCTCGAAACAGCGATCCCTGCAGCGGTTGCCCCTGCAATCCGAAAACACACCCACGATGGAGTCCTTCAGCAGAGTGCAGGAATCAGCAGCCCATCCGTACTTACCAGTTGGCTTAGGGAAGTTGATCCAATCAAACACTTCTTTCCCAAAGTCCCATGACAACATCTGTGTGTCTTCACGACCCGATTTCCACCAGTAAAGCATCTCCCCACGGTACGTATGGGGATAACGAACCGGATTCGAGACGACTGGCGAGTACTGGCCATCAATTCTCCTCCACGAATCATTCCTCAAGCTGTACATCTCCACAACAGACCATGGATCAGGTCTAACTGGCTCGAAATCATCAATACCGAACGAATCGGCGCTAATGCTCCTAATGACCTTGTAGTCATTCGTCTGCGAATCGAACCCAAAACCAATCAGCTCTTCAAACAGACGGCCGTCAGGACCAGTCCGATCACCGCTAAAGGGGGAACGCGGCAAAATCTTGGTCTCTGAAGTTGCCGGATTCCAGAGGATAATGTCGGAGGCATTGGAGTAGAGTTTATCGGCGATACAAACAATCCCATCACAGCAACCCACAATTGACAAGTCTAATTCGAAATCAGATGTAATTCCATCGCAGGGGAAGGTATAAGAGCGAACCTTATTGGGGACACAGGGCAAATCAGGGTCTTTACCGATTGGGGTGATGGGTTCCAGACTCTTGTAGGAGAGCAGAGAGTAGACGAAGTGGGATGTGGCGTAGCCGTCGCCATTGTCGTCGGCAGCGCCCTTGACTAGAACCTGAGCAGTTTCGTCGTCTCCGGTGGAATCAACGCCCGGCCCGAAGAGGATGTTGTGAATGGAACTTGGGCGCGAGAGAAGGATATTCCAGAATCTACAGACGCAGCGGAATCTGACGATGCAGGAGCCGAGGGGAGCCTCAACAAGATTTCATTCACCATTTCTTCCGGGAAGAAGCCGCCACTACTCGTCTTGATGGGCGCTCGGTCGGCGGCCGGGACGACATTCCACTTCTTGATTTTCAGGCGGCGGCGGGCTGCAGATGAAACGGCACCGGATTCCCTCTTACGACGGCCTCCGGCCATTGTAGATCTCTGATATCAGCGGCAATTCGGCGACTAGGGTTTTCTGAAGCACTGACTGGGGGGAAGAAGAAAGACGCTTCACCTTTCTCCGAATCTCGACTCTGCTTTTGTTCCCCTTTTGTAGACTTCAAAAATATTTAAAAATTAAAATAGTTACATCACGCGTATTGTATTTTTGGTCCCTAAACTATCAACTAAAACCAACTCATCCTCATAATATCTAATGATTCACTAATGCGCCCCACTTGCGAAAACAAGAATCCATCCTCTCTGTTTCTATATCTGCGCCCAGCAATAATCCCTTTAAACACTTCTACTACAAATGCCATTTCATTGCTCTTTGATTGCTTTCTGAGCTCTGTGGTTTCCCTGTTAAATAACTGCTAACCATGTTAGTGTTCTTCAAAGAATGTATGTATATATGGCGGTCATCTAATCTCATCGATGTGTGTGCGCTATACCAGCAGCCACAACCCACAGTATCCAGCAATGCTACACGATCTGCTTCTGCAGGAGGTTGCATCGACCCCACACTCCTCGTCTCTCAGACACCGGTGGTCCCCGCGGGCATCAACGACGTGGCAGACGCTCTCGATTGCCTGCTGGCCTTCTCCCAGATTCAAGCTTGTTGCAGGACATACTTGCAGTGACATCGCACTTGCTCGTTCCATTGACATCCGACTCTGCACGGTTAAGAACGAACTTTGTTCAACAGCTATTGCAAAAACAGATTCCTTTTGTTTTCATGAATTGTTCGTGCAGATTCAAAGACAGAAAGAAATGGTGATGAGAGAGATGACTCGCGCATAACTCGTGGATTATATGCAAGAAAAGTCGAGATGATCGCATATATACACCTTCATGGTGAAAGCCTAAAAGAGGCAACGAATACCTTGACATAGGTCCAATTTGATGGGATGTAGGCTTCTGGAAGTCGATCATGCCAATCACTTAGCACTGGGAGAGGGTGACCCTCAGTTGTAAACACATAGTTTCTACCAGCTAAAAACGAATCATCAAACAGAAGATACAGATACTTGCACCTGCCAGAACAAAAGAGAGGAACCATAAGAATGCTAGTCTCATTCAGAAAATAGAATATAGCATGCCAATCATATTTTTCCATGAAAGCTCTAATCTTGGGAGAATTAAAGAAGGGTGGAAAGAAGTCTTACGTTTCTGCGAGAAAGAAACTATGCTGGTGATCTTCCCTTTGCATAGTTGTGACATCTCGAATGCTAGCAAATCCTCCCTCAACTTTAGTGTAGAAGTTGAGAGAGTTAACAATTGCTTCGCCCACCTCTATATAAAAAGGATCTGAGACCATAGCCGTCACCAAGATTGAAGGGCAAATTAGAAAAACATAAAGCAGCCTAATGCAAAAGCGAGTTTATAATTGGTTCATCCATTTCCCCAAGCTAAGATCAGGGTCTGAAAATTATAAGAGGTTTAAATCTAGAATTTGGTGTCGAACAGCGAAAATACCTTTAGTCGCGTGATATAAGTAAAATGTGGACTCGGCCAATTCAGGACGCAGTGGATAATACTTTTCTGTAGGATGCACAGTCTGATAATCCAGCAAATACCTGAAAATTATTATCTCATTAGGTTTCCTCAGTTCTGTAGAAAGTCTTGTCGACCCAACTAAGCAGGAGCAGTAGTTTAAATGGTTAATGCAACATATTATCAGATATGGAGGCAAATACCTTTCTGGTAGCACCCCATACTTTTCCCAGACAGAAAAGAACTCTCGATGGGAGGAATTCGCAGCTCGGACATCCCCCACAAGAACCTGATTAATAATATTACAATCAGACACCTCTTTTAAATGCAAATTCGCACCATGGAAAGTGATGCTGAATCAAGGAAAAACTTGCCTGTAGACCAGGCCAAAATGCTTGAAGGCTTGTCAGCTGCCAATAAGTTGCTCTTCCACTCCTCATATCAGCTTCATGGTACCTAAGTAAGAGTAATTACTTCATGTTACAAACACTTCTACGGTTGTCGAGATTATATATAATGAAGTAATCACACTACCCAGGAAAGAGAAACTAGTGCATTTAATTTCATCATCTTGGATTATCTAAAAGATAGAATTGTTCAGAATGGGGAACTTCATGACCAAAAAATGAGTACCATGAGCCATGTCTGAAGTATTTCTGCACAGCTAGATAAGCTGACTGGAACATTCTCCAGTAGTCATCTTTTCCAAATAGAATATGAGCCTTGACTAGATACTCGTAGAAAGAATCAACCCCTGATTGAAGCAATAAAATGTCCATAATCACAAAATAAGAATTATTCCAGCACATAATTTCAGAGCATACATGTTTTCATGGAGAATGAATTACCGAGAATTAAAAGAAAACGAGCTACTAGCAAGTATTATCTCATAAAGAAAGGCCAAAAAGTAGATACCAGCTCCAATCCCAGAAGAGTGCTCAATCCACTCTCCAGTCATCACATCTAGAGTTGTTCCGAATAAGTTCAATGAACTACGCATACTCCACAACTTCCTCAGAGCCCGTAAAGCTGCAAATTCATATCTCGGGTCCCCAGTTAATCGTGATAGTGCTCCCATTTCAAGTATGAGAGAACCTGATTGTAACCACGAAAAAGAATTTATTGAGAGGAATGCAAATCCAAAACTACAATGCAGCAAAGCGAACTGTATGGTTATGAATCTCACCACACCCTGAAGTGCTAGTTTCAGTAGTTTCACCTTCCATGACTCCATACTGTCCACAGAATTTTGCATTGCTGCGGAGTCATATATCCCTCTTACAAAAGGAAAAAGGCAGAAAAATATTCTCACTTCCTAATCCTCATAAGTCAACACTATGTGAAAATGAGGATATGCAACTGCTTCGCTACTAGTCAACAACTACTAGTTTATAGGGTCATATAACTTGCAAAAGGTACAGCTAAAGACGCTCTGTTTTTCAAGTGCGGCAAAAATGATTTATATTGTCTATATATAAAACTATTGGACTTGAAAGTAACCTAGTAACTCATACAAAAGTTGTTCCATGAAGTACCTTCAAGTTGACCCAGGCGTAAGGCAAACCAGTTGGTGTATCAAATGCAGGTAAGAAACGCCGGCCCAAATCTTCAGCCAGACCCAGCAATTCATTATCATAAGAACCTTGAATCAACCGATTCTTCGAGTCAGATGCAAGAATATGAGCAGAAACAAGCCCTCCGAGAACTCTTATATTGCACTATATGAATTAAACGAGCACACGATAGTCAACAAGCTAAAACATAATCCAGCAACTCCTAATTCTGAATTAAGGCTACAGAAACCAAGAATTACACTATGCAGATATCATATCAAAGCCAGCTAAATTTTTACAGAGAAATTGACCAATAGTACCTCAAAAAGGTTTACCCTGGCATCAACATCAAATGACAAATTCTTCGACAGCCAACCAACTGCCCTTTCAAATTCTGTGTTGTTTCCCATTATAACAAGGCTGTGGAATAGAAGGCAAGGCTTTTTCGTTAAGAAGGACGTGATTGCTCTGCCTACTAACTACATCAAAACACAGAACAGTATCAACTAACAACTACTTCAACACAGAGACCCTTCAGCCTCAGTCATCCAGTAAAGTTCTCACCTAGATAATGACTCAATGAGAGTAAGGGCCGAGCCACTGTAATCTGTAGGCAAATGCTCAAGCTGCAAACAAAATAGCGAAAATGCTTAGACTTCAGCTGAGCCCAAGCAGAAAGCATAAAAACATGGCTTACGAATCAAAACAAGTATCCATAAATTACCTTGAGATTCCCAAGCTCGCTTAGAGAGTCTGTGTATGACTTGGTAAGAGGCTTCAGCTCATCATGCTGCCATTCCATTCAGCGTATGAATAACTTGATCAACAGAAACATCCCCGCATATATTTACAACATAGAAAAATAGAACAACATAGACTCACCGGAAACGCGTAGGTCATGTAGTTTTCATAAGCATGATAGAACCTGCAAACCACAACCCATTAAATCCAACTGGTTCTATATTAACAAATCTGCTTTCTTTCTTCGTCCCCAAATTGAATACAGAGTTCGCGTAGACCTTCTAATGAAGCTAGAGTTGTTCAACATTAATTTGGATTCAAATGCACCAAACCCACAATTCAAATTTCCAGAAGGACCAAAACTCCTCAAATTGGGGTGAAGGAGAACAATGAAAGACGTGATACACTACTACTGCTTACATCTCTCGGACCTTGTCTCGCATCTCCAGCTTCTTAGCTGCCCACCGAGAATCAAGCTCGGAACTTGATGTGCAAAAGGAGAGGGAGATCACAAGAAGCAACAGGACAAACGCCGGCGTCCCAGATCTCCGAGACGGCATACTGAGAGAGGCGAAGGAAGATGGCAGAGCCCAAAGCACCGGGTCGAATGAATGGGTTGTCGATCAGAAGTAGGAAAGGGCAGAGCAGCGGGAAGATTGGAAGCAAAAATTCAGTTGGATTGGATTTGGCGAACTGGCAATCCACATCTTGGAGCCCCGCTACAAATTTACAATAATCTATTTGCTGCCTGTAAATTACATCTTTGGAGTAATGATTTATCTGTTTCTTTGTTATTATGATTTTATTATCGTGCAAGTGACCAATAGCAAGCAACCAGTTGGAGTCATAGCCAATCATATTTTGTCGCACTTGTCATGAGGTGATGGCGTGGAGAATTTGAGTAAATTACACCTTTGATCACTGAGATCGTCTCCCACTTTCATTTTGCTACCTAAAAAGAAATTTGTGAAAACAAGTTCGTTAAATTTGTTTTATGCGACAATAATTGTATTATTCGTGTTAGGATATGGTATTAATCTGGCTAATATGATAAATGATTATGTTATCAACAGGTTCAAGTCCACTAAAAGACATCTTACCTTGAGTTCAAATCCATCGGGATCCTAGACTCCTGTAAAAAAAAGGGTCAAGCCCTCCAAGTAAGGGACCCTTCTCTCTTCCTTTACTTGGTCACACAAGGTCTCTCTCTAAACTGTAATCTCTATACATTCACACACATACAGATCTCATATTAACTTAGGTGTCGGAGTGTAGATCACAAGGATCACCCGCTCCATTCATAAGTTCTTCCACGCGTGAAGAAATCGAACGAACGAGTCTGAATCAGAACCCCCAATTATTGTTATCCGCCGAGAGTACTTAGTTGGATCAAACAATTCATTTATTTGACAATTTTCCTTACCGGGCGATTTTTGCTTCACATTTGATATTTTGCCCAACAAATGAATTGTTTTGCTTCACAACAAATGAATCCTTGATATGAAAAAAGAAACCTTGTTGATACACTTTGTGACCTTATTCTTGTTCAAATCGAGTTTGAAGGGATAGAATCCTATAACATTTATGAATTATGAATCAAATTTGTCATACACATCAAAGATCACTTAAATGTTGTTAATCTTGTCAGAACCGAACTAGAGCATGATCCGGTAATGCGAACGACTCGCACTTTAGTGGTCCTACCGGCATTAGACCGTTTAAAAACTGTTAGAGAACCGGTACCTAATAAACGTTATCAGTATAAATAGTGGACATTTCTTAATAAGAGCTCATCTCTTTACTTCGAAATTGTGAAATGGAAATAAGGATTCAGTTTGAGAGGCCAACGTTTTTTGTTTATTTTAATTTCCAATTTTCTGCAATTTTTCAAATAAATTTAACAGCTTAATAGCAAAAACCGAACGAGCGGTTGTAACGCTATCCCGTTTAGTATCATTTTGTTGTTGTTGTGGTTGCACCGGTGTTATGTAAACAAATGTACAACACAACAGGAAAAAAACAGAAAATATAAACCTGTTTAGTTGATAAATCTGAGAAATCATGAAATCTGACAACAAAAAATAATAACTAGCTTTGTTTAATTTCTTTCTTATCTGCCATTTAAATTTTAATAATTAATAAATGCAATTATTTTGAAGAACAAGTTGTCGAGAAAAAGTAGAGCTTTGGTAGCGGCGGCTGAGCTTTCTTCTTCGCCTTCACTTTCATAAGCTTCTCCAATATGCTAACCATCTTGGTCATTGGAACAGGGGAAGTAATCCCCAAGTTGTAGATCCTCAATTGACTCGATTGCTTCTCTCTGAAAGGGGAGCGTTGGTTCTATTGGGGGAGAGGAGAGTTGGTTGTCGGGGGAGAAGGGGGCGCAGCCTGTGTCGGGGAGAAGGATGAGCGGAGTGGGAGATTGAAGCCGGCGGCAGGGCGACGAGAAAGGAGTGGCCGACTGGAGAGGAAGGTTGAGAGAGCAAGGGAGCTGTTGGGCGGCGATTTGGGCAAATAAAAGAGGAGATTGTTTGGCCGACTAGGGTTTGGGAGTAAAAAAAAAATAATTTGTGTGCCTAAGGTGGGACTCGAACGAGGGGTTGCTTTAATGAAAACAGACGCTCAACCACTAGGAAACCCGTGTGAAATAAGGTTAAGAATCATATCCAAAGCAATAAATTGTTGTTTCTCTGATTTGGCCCTGGTTGTGTAAATCTAATTCACAACAAAAATAAAAACTAAACTAAACATGTTTTTTTCTCCTTAGTTTCTCCAATTCTTAAAAACACAACAGAAAACAAAAACAAGCAACAATACTAAACATGCCAGGTAGAGATTTTTGCTTCATATGTCATCATCACCATCACCATATTATCATGATCGTCACCACAATTCAATAATTCACGGGACATTTGTTGTTTGTTCAGTAGCTGTTAGAAACAAAGGGGTGTAGGGTTCGGCCCTATTACTTCTGTTGTTTAATAATTATAATTATTAACAGTAGAGAAATTAGGCGAAGTTGGATCGAATGGGTTAGGATTAATTTTAGGGTTTTGGGTATCTTTTTATTATAAATATGTATTTTGGTTCTTACGTCGGAGAAAAAATGAAAAAAGTATTAGCAAAGTATCTCTCTCAAAACTCTAATCTCTTTTGTAACACCCTAATACTTTTTCATAATTAAAACCATTTAAATAATATGCATATCATCAGCTATTTACCAAAATTGTTAAACTCTTAACTCATAACAAAATTTTGGGGAAAACCCATCTTCAAATGTCTTAAGTAAAACAATGTGGAGAGTTCAGTCTGTCGCCCACCTCATCATCATAAAAGCTTAAACTTGCTTCGTCTCGTCGCCTTTCCCCATTTAGCTATTGATCTGGGAAAAATATTGAAGGAATGAGATGTCACTCAATTATTAAATGATAAATGTAACATCCCAAACCTCGGGCAATATATAAATCAATTCGGTTTGACGAGGAATCAAGAATTTCAACCATACTCGAAGAAATTGCGACCACACCGAATGGTTTATGAAATGACGAATATTCTGGAATGATGTATCAAAAATTGAGAACAAATCTTGATTCCACAATTTATAAAATTCTTCCACGATCACATAGAATTTTACGGAAGTAAATTTAGATTCCAAACGAGTGAGATATGTCATTTTGAAGTATGCACTCTGTTATTGAAATAACCTACGTACATACGCTAATTTGGGCACAACTTCTTCGTTTGGGATCGAAACAACGAGCCGATTGCGCCCACACGATCGTATCGAGGAGGAGAAGACTTAAGGTGGGACAGATCCATAATAGAATAATCCTTGAAATCTGTCAATAATTAGATTCGAGAACTCGAACCAAACAAAATAATACCAGTACTCAATTTGGGTGTGACACACAACCAAATCGGTAAGGGATGAATCAATGACGATTAATTATATTCCTGCCCACCAGCCTTTGTGTGGCCAGCCTTTATGATCATCATGTTACCTTGCTCAAGGGAGCCAACTGTTTGATGATGGGGATGGGATCATGAAATTAAAGCACGTTATAATTCGTCCAATAATAATGAGCATCACCATACCGTCATCTTCCACCTTATGATTCAATCCAAAAGCCAAGCTAGCACATGGTAACAGCGGCATAAATAGGCAGCATCCACTGCTTCTTTTCCCCGGAGAGACACCAAAACCAAATCCCATCCTTTGCTCCCCAGTTTTTGTCTCACGTCAATGGTGAAGAGAGAAAGAGAGTGAATAGGAAGAGAGTAAAATTAAGGATTCTGAATACTAGGTTGTGCTCGGGAGGAAGTCATAAATCGATCCACGGAGTCAGAATTCAGTTTGGAGGTCGTTAGAAGTCTCGTCGGAGCTTCGCTGGAGTTCATTAGTGGGTCGCCGGAAAAATCAGAAAAATGAAATTCAGCCATACTTTGAAAGGTAGGTATGGTTGCGAAGAGGGAGATCCTAGGAGCACGCACGTTTCGACGAAATTGAGTTTCGACGTCGGACGAGGGAGAAATGAGCAACGGAAGTTAGGCACAAAAATTGTTAAGTTCAGGTATCATTTCTGGTAAATCGAAAAGTTAAAGGACCTCTCTGTAATTTTCCCACAGATACGGGTCAACACTTTTAGTTGACTGGTAAACTTCATATTTAGTCCCTGATACTTTGAGTAGTAACGGAATTCGCATTTCGTTCATAATTCGTACGTTTGACGTCCAAACGACAAACCGTTTTCACCTACAGGATCGTGAGAATGAGGAGAATATTTTGAAACCAAGATCTGGAATTTCCTGAGGTTTTCACAGAATCGGATTTCGTCATAAATAAGGTGTGTGGGCTTACGGTAAAAGGGAACCGGAATTACGTGTTTATTTCTAAATACGCATGATTGAGTTGATGATTAATGATTATGATGGATTTGTGATTGATTCATGATTGTAATCTTGGATGAAATTGTTGATGAAGTTAACTGATTTTTATGGTAATAATTATTATTAATCCTGTATTCGAATTGTTGACGTATATGGTGAACTCCGAATATTTTCTGAAAATGTCTATTGAGATCAGAATGAGGAAAGTAAATTTAAGGAGTTTTGAAATGGTTTTTAGCCATGAGATCTTACCATGAGAATGATATTATTGGTAATAATTGAGTTTTAGGAATTAATTGAAGTTATGACGTTAAAAGGGTGAAATTGAGAATTAATAAATTGGATGAGTATATGAGAAGTGAATTATGGTTAGAACAATTAAAATAAAGAATTTATGAACTTTGTTGGATTTCTGGATGGGTGAAACCAATTTCTATGTCATTTTGTTATTAAAGAGATTATATTACGATTTTAGAATAATGGCAATGTAAGGAAAAATTATTATAAACTGAATATGATGGTAAGATGATTATCACGAGTTATTTTAATTAAGATTGAAGTTAAGTTACATTTTAAGACTAATTTTTAGTAATGGTTAATTGAGTATTTAATTGAAATATTGAAGATAATCTTATTAATGTATTTTGAGGAACGATGATGTAGATTGTATTTTACAAAATAATTATTGAGAGATGTGTTATTAAGGGAGACCGTTTCAAAATAACTTTTGATAATCAGGAGAATTATATATTGGGTATGGTCCTTTTTAGAATGGTTTCAAGTTATTAATATGAATTCATGAAAACAAGATTTTGATAGTAATATGTTTAGTTGCTATGTTGATGAAATTAGTTAAAGAACGATATGGATAATTTGATGTATTTTTATTGTTATTATATGGTTCGTATGATAAAATGATTTGATGACGAATAAAATATATATTGATTATTGATATGTATGATTAT